AATATACCTCTTTTGGTCATGCTGACAGCTGCGAGGATTTGCTGAGTGTATAAGCGGTGTATGTACTGCTGAATGGCATCCAATGGCAACATCACTCAGGTATATCTAGGAGTGAATATATATCTTTTTACGCTTGACAATGTGCCAGAAGGCCAACACGACTGAGGGACAACTTTGCAGAATAATCAAGCCGGAATTACATTTGGCGCTGCATATTATGGGCCACCGAGTGAGAGGAGACTTGGTATGCTTGAGTCTAGTTAGGATTCTGACATGTATGGAAAGGCAGTAGATTTTGGAGGATGACTCTTTAGAACATTTGGACAAGGAAACAGATGTTTCAGCCATTTTAACCTAAATTTCACCCATCCTCTTACATATAGGGAGCAGCAGGAGAAGCCTCATAAAGATCGCACAATTGGGTTGTGTCAACTAGGTATGATTGCAATGAATACCGGTTAAACATTTTTTCACATTGGGGCGAAGTCTGTCATGACACGGACGATGTAAACCCAGCACAGAATTCTCGAGAATCAGAAGGGTTCATCAAGGGCTTGTTTAAGCAAATCAAAAATCACAACCTCAAGACAACCTTCATTCGGTTTCAGATGAGGCAAACTTATAACTCCATTACAATCACCTTTTCATTCAGAATAAAAGTCAGTTGACAGGCTTCTCTTAGTTTCACAAAAAAATTGGTTCAACGCCTCATATGGATATGTTTATACTGGCGTACCTTTCATTTAGTTTTAGAAGGCGGGTCCTGTTTATGTCTGCGTAGCTTTTTGTAAAGTCGTATGCTTTCACTAAATATGCATAAGGGTTAAACAACTGCCTTGTAATGCAGATTAGGACACATTGTCCTTGCTAGGATGCAGTTTTCCGAGTTCACTTGAAGAGTGGTGACTAAAAGTTATTTAGAAAACATCACCGAGACCGGACTTTCCAGAAATTATTATGTAATCGCATGATCAAGCTGCCTTGCAAGTGATATTATTCACTTTTATCATTCCTTCGCCTTGATTAACATTAATTACTAACATCTGGACGATCTTTTCCATAAACCAAGTTGCCATCCATTCGTACTCTTACGAATGAAGGATTTTTTCTCGTCTATATTTTATGAACAAAACTTAAGTTGTGATAATTTTAAACCTTAAAACTAGGTCTTCTGCCAAATAGAATTTTCTTACTTAGCTTTAGCGTCATCATTAATAAGTGTTGATATGCATGTAAGCCAATGATTCATTTTGCTTTATTCTTGTACTTAAAAATTTGCTGTTGTATCGGGTAATATAGAACGTAACTAAAGCAACTAATTGCGCTGCAGTTTATATTGATCTTCTTAAGGCACGTGATAGCATTTAACTACCCTTCGGCAATAAAAGTTCACGTCTTGTGTATATTTCTGACATTTCTTGATTACTATTTATTCAATAGTGTGGCCGCTGTAAGAAGGAATTTCGTAATTATAAGTACGAACATTGATAGTTCGGATTTCGGAAAATTATCTTCTATATTTTGGAAATTGTTTAGCAACCATTCTCCTGTTGTTGGTGATGGCAAAAACATTTTTTACCAGGGTAAATCCCAACATGAAAATGTAATATGCTGGAGGCTTAGCATTCCTTGAAATTCTCTTCTACATGTTGAAATTAAAGACCGCACCACTCGAGTTAGATTCCCATTGGAAATTCCTGCAAGTCAAATAAAAGACTAAACTTACTATCTACACCGGATAGTAATACATTTTGAGAAGTAAGGCAAATGTTATTAACCCGTGCCGTGTAAACCAACTCATTTCAGTTTGAGAAACTTCACAACCAATGCTTCATCAATTTAAGCAGCCATGGGTGACTAAGCTCTTATTAAAAATTGGATATATCTGCCTTCAGGTGAATTAAGCCAAAAAGTGCAATAGGCACGATAAAAATAGCATATCCAGGTTATCACGAAGAAAAGGACTACACTTTTTATGCAACAAGGAAAGGTTGAGAAATTGGATTGCTCTGGAGTTAATTGCACATTAGTCAGCAGGAGCATATTGATGAAAGTAGAAAGTATTCTATTTTTCCGTATATAAGAAGGCCTTTGAGGATACCAGTAGATCATAAATATGGCAAATATTATACATTTTTCGTTAAAGTGATGAAGGACCAGTAGATGAATCTTCACACAATGATATGAATATGCCATAAGTTTCTATTGAATTGCTTTGCTTACCAAGAGGCAAATTCCAAGGAGCTTCTACCTAAAGGGAGAAAGCCCTTTCAATTATGTACTTTCAACTAGTAGAATAGGAATAGCAAGGAAAAGGCAGTTGGGGAGACTTTAATTTCGTATGAAAATGCATGAGGAAGAGATTCGTAGGTTGATCTCACCAGAAGACGACTGCCTATTCGCATTGTACTGCCGCCGTTTGGACTTAATGCGACATTCCGGTTGACGCGGCCCACGAGTCATTCTCCATCGTTTCGGATGGAAACAAGTTGAGCTTTCGTCCATCATTCGATGGATGTCATCAGAGCGGGAACTCATAGTTGTAAAAGTCTTACGTTAACACAAGTTCAATGAGCATATCTGGCTCTATTTTGCCTCCTATCAATGCTGATAATAAAAAAGCGTAAATGTATAATCATAGATAGATACAGGATGGTTTGGCTAATTATCTTTCATATTGGTCATGTTACTTTTACTCTAGTGTGCGTGTGTGTGGGTGCTAAAGTATATACGCAATACCGGTCCTAAATCAGAGGGATCAAAAAGGGCTGAGGTCTGGCTATGGTCGTAAATACTTCCTATAAAAAACTCTTCCTAACTTACCCTATTATCTAATAATGAGAAGAGCCAAAAAGGGCCAGAGTTGTACTATTCGACTTCCCTTTCGAACCTAAATTTCCTTTCACGTTGGTTAAGTAAAAGTGAAAACTATCTAGAATTCCTTACTATGAGGCCAAGTGGAAAAATAGTCATCAATGTATCTAATTAACAATTGAGGAGTTAGTATTACTTCTTCCAAATAGTGTTCGTCAAGTTTGGTCATATAGTTGTTCGCCAAGCTCGATGCTAAGCAAGGTCCCATCGCAAGTCATTGTGTCAGTTCACAAAATTTGTCGATAAGCTAAGAAGTCTGAGCATGGAAGCTATACACAACCTTATTCACTCTAGCATCTCTGGGTACTCCACCAGAGTTTCGGCCTTGTCTGAGCTAGTCTCATCGCCCCCCCCCAACGGGACTCGAAACCTTGCAGTTCGGCATAGAGTCTCGACACATTAACCACTACGCCAGAACGCAGTTGTGAGTTTTAAGAAGAACCAGGCATTTTCCCACATCTAATTCTTTGGTGGTATTATTGATGAGGTAAAGTTTTATTTGTTATAGCAATCGACCTCATTACTTATTATTGGTTTGTAAGTGGATTTTCGAGCGTAGTTCATAAATTCCACCACCAGTCCTTCATCATCTTAATGAGCTAGGGGTAGTATCTACTGGTAGTTTGAAAACATAAATATAAACGAAAAAAATGAAGTAGTATGGCCGATTGCCGTAGCAGAAACAATTTTGCTTAATCGACAATCCCAGCAGGTGATATTGAAAAGTTCCTAGCCTCCCATGAAAGGTACCTCTGCCCTGTGACCTAAGGGCAGTTATAAAAATGTGGTATAGTGGATAACGTGTATAGATTATACGATGCACTCTCATGGTTCGAGTCCCGCTGAGGGCATTGAGGAGACTTAGGATAGATCAGAACTGCAGTCTACTCCGGAATGGATTCGAATACCCTTTGGGAAGCAAAGCTTAATGAACTTCAATAGAAACGTAAGGTCTATTCATATAATTGTGGGAAGATTGACCTAACGGTTCTGAATCACTGTAACGAAAAAAGGATATTACTTATCATGTTGTGACATGGCTCTCGAGTTCGGAGGGAATTCTTGATGTGGCCTCATCGGAAACCGAAGGATTGTCGCGTAAGAAGGACTAAAGAATTGTGCAAAGAACTCCTTAGCTCGCCGTTCTGTAACCACGAAGAAACTGTGCTAAGCTTTCGTCTGTACTTTGAATGGTGTCATCATAGGAAGATTAGATACTTTACGGAATCGAACAAAAATAGAGTAAACGAAGAGAAAAGGTGGCAGGCTGTAACCATAGTCGCATTTTTATACACACAATATCGCGATCTTAATTAGGCCTTTTATAAACTCGTTCAGTATATTCAGGACGTTGGCTGTTTTTAAAAGTAGGATAACGTCGTCGCAACTTGGTCTTGTTGTCAGGGCGACTTAGTAGAATGCACCTAGTCCGAAGTTGTCTGCCATAGTAGTTGTCATTATTCCTAGCATCCGACAGTGGACTTGGTACATTCTCTAAAGTTTCGCCGGCATCGTAGTCGGCATCATCAGTGAGCTTTGCCATTCTCCGCACAAAGCAACGAACTCGTCAAAGAGACAAGTGAAGTCAATACCTCGACAAACGTTCTGCCGAAAACGGTTGCACTATCACTCCTCTCTCTGTCCTAGCCTATCTATCTACTCTTTAGCCTCTTCTCCCACTGCCGCCCTATCACAACTTCTCACTTGTTTACATTCCAATCGTCCGAACGTGTGCCCTTTTGTGACAAATCTAGTCTAGCCTCATCACACTTGCTGTTTACCCTGACCCCTCTCCTTCGATCGGCTGATCCGACTCGGGCCTCCAATCCAGATCCCCTCATTGTCTCGTAGATCCGTTCCTTATCTTTCTGGTTGACCGATTTAACACGGTTCCAGTCCAAGTGTGCGTTTCACTCCAGGCGCTATTTCTAAAGGCCTCAGAAGCACCCATGTTATCTGAGCAAACTGTGGACGCCTATCTCTGGTCCCATGCGGCATCTGAAGTGGATTTCTGGTACATTTTGGCCAGAACGCCGAATTTCCGTGACGATTTGCTTATCCGTCTGCCCAGCTTACTGACTGTCAGGCTCCCAAAGTTGTACTGGTTTATTCTAAATGGACATCACTCACTGACAACGTCTTCGCTTTATTGTCGAAAACCCCCGCCCCCCACTTTCTTCATCACGATCCCTTTTCATCCGATTAGCGCTAGATCCTTGATCCAGGCGTCTTCTTTTTGCTCTATTCCTGTTTTCCCCGAGTTTGCTTAGGCAGTAGACAAAGTTATCACAACCTCTACCTTCTTCCAATCTCCTGAACATTAGATTTTTCTCCCCAAGCATGTCAATAACCTCCATAATCTTCTGCATCCTTGTGTTGTCACCGTATGGGGCTCTTCTTTCTGTTGCCTTCCAATTGATCTCGTGTCCAGTCTGCGCGATGTGTTCCGCTAGTTCTGATCTTTCAATATCCATTTTCCTATAGAGCCTCTGATTTTCCTTGATTCGTTTGCTGATCTTTCTCCCTGTTTCGCCAATATATTTTTGATCGCAAGCGCCACATGATATACAGTAAACTCCTGAACAATCCAATTTGTCTACCCTTTCATGTTGCGCTAGTAGACTTGTAAAAAGTGTTAATTTCTCTTTAATGGCCACCTGAATATTCCATTTCCTCAATATTGGCCGTAGTTTTTTAGTTAGTTTGCAGGAAGGTAGGCATATCCACTTTTGTAAATCCTTCATCGTCCTTACTATTCTTTCATAGTCCCCGTTCTGCAATCGGCTCTTCACGGCCCGTATGTTTCTTTGTATCACTTAGCTTGGGTAGCCATTGCCGAGGAATATACCCGCATGAGCACTGCCGGTTATAGCGGTGCCATCCTGAAACTCTCTTCTATTTTCTTCATGAATACGTTGGCCTGAATGATTACTTCACACTTTGATCACATGGAAAAGAAAAACTGGTAGAGTTTCTGAAGTTTTTAAATCAAATTTATGGAAAAATAAAATTGCCGATAGAAATAGAGGAAGGTGAGCGGTTACCGTTCCTGGACGTTGAAGTGATTCGTTCTAATGGGACGCTCAAATGGAAATTGTTCAGAAAGAAGTCCTATGCTGGGATAGTACTCAATGTCTAGTCCCATCACAATTAAAGGCTAAAGATTGGATTAATGAGGAACATGATCACCTGAAGCCTACGCCTAACGGATGCAGATTTCTGGGACGAGGAGCTGGACAAATTGACTAGGATCTTCCTCGGCAATGGCTACAAAAACGAAGTGATACAAATTAAGATACGTGCTGTTGGAAGCCGACGGCAGAACGGTGACTATGAAAGAACAGTAAGGACGATGAAGGATTCACAAAAGTGGATATGCCTGCCTTCCTGCGAACTAACTCAAAAACTACGGCCAATATTGAGTAAATGGAATCTTCAGGTGATCATGAAGGAAAAATCAATACTTTTCACAAGTCTTTCGACGCAACATGAAAGGGTAGACAAATGAGATTGTTCAGAGGTTTATTGTATATCATGCGGCGCCTGCGATCAGAAATATATTGGCGAGACAGGGGAAAAAATTGGCATGCTAATCAAAGAACATCAAAGGCTCTGCAGGAAAATTGATACCGAATGATCAGAACTAGCGGAACACATCGCGCAGACTGGACACGAGATCAATTGGAAGGTAACAGAAAGAAGAGTCCCATACGGTGTAAACACAAGGAAGCGGAAGATTAGGGATACCATTGACATCCTTGGGGAGACAAATCTGATGAACAGGAGATTGGGGGAAGATAGAGTTAGCGATAACTTTGCCTAGCGCCTAAGCAAACTCGGGGAAAACAAAAATAGAGCAAAAGCAACAAAAAGTAGACACCTGGATCAAGGATCTAGCGCTAATCGGATATAAAGGGATCGTGATGAATAAAGTGGGGGCAGGCGTTTTCGGAAATCAAGCGAAGACGTTGTCAGTGGGTGATGTCCATTTCGAATAAACCAGTACAACTTTGGGGGCCTGTCAGTCAAGGAGCAATGCAGACGGATAAGCAAATCGTCACGGAAATTCGGCGTTCTGGCCAAAATGTACCAGAAATCCACTTCAGATGCCGCATGAGACCAGAGATAGGCGTCTACAGTTTGCTCAGATAACATGGGTTTAATCAGGGAGAGAAGCCGTGAAGGGAAGGTCTGATATCTGCAAGCATGGCAATCAGGGCTTAGGGGCTCCGCTCGGTGAAGCCGCAATGTACGTGCCTCTACGGCCTTGAGAAATAGCTACTGGAGTGAAATGCAGACAGAGGCTGGACCCGAGTGAAATCGGTCAATCAGAAAGGTAAGGGACGGATCCACGAGACAATGAGGGGATCCGGATTGGAGGCCTGAGTCGTATCAGTCGATCGAAATTGCAGTCCACTCCTGCCTGTTATGAGGAAAAACTGTGTGCAATAATAATGTGCTATAATAAGCTGAGCCCTACTCATCTCTTTGTTAAAATCAGTCGGCTACCTGCCCTAGAGTAACTATATTTCAGAATAATGATTCTATAGCAACAACTAAATTTACCAACATATTTAATAGAAGAAACGAGTTTAAAAAATCCAGGGCGAACTATTTATGACTGTTGGTTAGTCTTAAATAGAAGGTAATGGAGAATGAGTAATAACTGCCGAGCAGAAAATGAAAAAGTATTTAATAGCTTTGATCCTGATTAGTGTTTTTACTCTGTACGTTACTTGAACAAAGCATACCAATTATGCATACTTCTAGATATACCAGGATTAAAAGCTGATTGGTTTATGTAAAGCAAGTGCAAGCAAGTAAGCAATTGACTCACAGGTTTTATTAATACCGAAGGCTTTTTTACGATAACTAAGTTTGTAATGGCAATGTCTGTCACATGACAGGCTAAAGTACACTATGAATTCATCAAAGTGGCAGGACGATGAGAAAAGAACTACTTCATGCAAACCAAAAATCCTTATATATTTCGATTAATTGGGGTTTTGAGACTATTAGTTAATCTTGAACAGCTTTTATTCCACGGAAATATTCCTTTTATCTCCGGTGAACAGATTTACGATTCCCTTCTACCCACCTTTTTAAACGAATTTAACGCAACGCCAAAATCAATTTTTTAAGAGCGTCTTCGAAACACAACTCTTTATTTCTAGGACATACATTATAGCATTTAAGCCAAATGATAGTCAATAGATGGATTTTACTTGCCTCTTTCAAGAGTTGTATCTTGGGCCTAAAACGAATGAGAAGTACTAACAATGTCGATTAATACGATTCCGGAGAAATGTATAGGAATGTACCAAGTCCACGGTCCGACGCCGGAAATAGGCTTGATTAATACGGCAGAAGACTCCAGACAAGATGCATTCACTTAGATTGCCCTGAAAATTCAACTAGGTTGCCAAAACGAGGTCAAATCATTTATAGATTATCTATAAATTTGGTGTTGCGACAAAAAGGGAGGATGAAAGTGACCCCGAATCACCGAATATGCAAGTTATTTTACCAATATAGATCAGTTGATGCAAAAATAAAGTCTAAATTCGGGTGGATACATTAACCATTAAATCGGCAAATAATAATTTCACAAGTCCTAACTCTACCCACATACTATGTAAGGAATTTAACATTTTAATTATATATATTGTGTTTTGCTTTCGGATAGTTTATGATAGGAGAGAAGGCTATCATGTACTTTTGGCTTGAATTTTATGAGAAGCTACTGATTAAGAGATTCTTAGACCATTCTTACTA